CATTAGCACCTCTAGTAATATATTTACTGAGAAAAATGGTGACATGTTCAATACTTATTTTACCCGCTGTATGTTATTAAAAGAATTTAAATGATTCAAACCGTTAAAGTTGTTCATTTTTATGGTAATTTTTATCACAATTTTGCTGTTGCTTGTGTATAATGCAATAATAAATGTATACGTTTATACAGTACTGTTATAATTTAACGCTATTTTACACAATGTGGGGGTTTGCCAGATGGGCTTATTTTCAGAGCTGGTTGCTTGTTTTTGTCGCGAGATCTGGCAACACTGACCATGATGTGTTTTGCTTCAAACAGTATAAAAACAAAAACAGCAAAGATGTGCTGACTGAACCATTCACGTCTCAGTGTGGTTTCATAAACCAGTATTTTATTTTATTTATTTATTTATTGCTGTCACTAGTTTTTTTTTTTATTATACTTTAAATGACACTCTAAGGTGGAATTATACGATCTTAAAATGGACCTGATGACTTGAATTAAACGTAGCTCCATTTGTTTGTCTGTGAAAACTTATTCCATCTTCGGACCTACTGTCATGTCGCTGACAGCTGATGACCAATGGTCCCTACTTGGACTGTGTGACGATGTTGGTTGACGATTTAATTTCCCAACAAACACACAAGGCCACTTCTCACAATTCATTTAACTTAGGTTAATCCGCTGTTTGGCTAGCTAAGCTAAAGCTAACTCTTTGACTTTCTGGAAAGATCGATAAAACAACGAAATCCTGAATATCGACCAGTCCTTCCGTGAAAAACTGTAAGCAAACATTACAGTCCGACTTAAATTTCCAACATAACACAAATCTTTCATGACTTTTCAAATCACTGTCCGTGTTGCCCCTAAACCAGGCTAACTGAATACCACTACGACGCTGAACAGGTCCAGTCGTTGACATTACTTTTGTTAGCAGGCCCATGCTAAAGCGGTTAGCGTCGGCTACCAGGAACAGCTACGATGCAGACGAGCTTCCTCGCGTCYAGTTTCTAAAAGAGGGCGTGTAACGTAGACATACCTCTCCGGAGACCTCCGTGAAAATAAGCGTTCGTGGCTGGACACGAAATTAGGTTGTTGTTTATGTTGTCAAACCCCAAACCGATAAGACGATGACACCAACGTAGCTTTAGCTACGAGCTGCGGGCAGGAGGAACGGTGCACTTCCGGCTCTTCTTCTTCGTGGATGAAATACTTGTAAAGTTACGTAGTATCTCCACTAATGATCATTTCAGAATCAAATTGTTTTTAATGAGTTTGTTTCAGGAGTCACCATGAATTTGCAGTTTATGCTCTTGTTCCACCTGCTGAGGCCTCTTTAAGCAGCCGAATGATGATTCTTATCAAAATAATTAAAAATAAAATAAT